GGGGGGGAGAGGGAAAAGAGGAGGGTTGATCAAACGTTAGTCACTGGATTTTGATCCTCTGGGCGCTGCATCGTATTGTGGGATATCAATATTTATTGCGCTGCATCGTATTGTAGCATATCAATATTTCAGTTACAGAGGTTTTATCTTATATGACTTATACATTGAATTCAAATCGATATACATTTTCATTCAAATGCGATATAGAGTCTGATACTGTAAAAATACCAATACGGTGCAACTTGGGGAGAAAGTGTGTTTATGAATCCTATTGCGGTTTAAACCTAGTAAAAATTGGTGAGGTTTGTTTTGCATTTATCGGTTTGGGTCTGCGTAATGTAACACGATCGTACAGAATAGAAGATGTTACGGTGTTTGCCTTCCAAGGGATCTGGTCTAGAATATTTAGGCCCAGTTATTCCATATTGTACTACTGTACATATATGTAAAATTACTTAAATACATATATGGCACAGTACAATGCAATAGGCCACATTTCGTTGTGCACAGATCGAATGCTTAACTTAAAAGAAAGACAGTATTTCAGTTGTTTAAGACCACATTCTATTCGTCTTTCAACAGAAAACACTTAAAAATTTAAAAGAAAGGAAAATACAATCGAATCAGTAGCACGGGGGAGTTTGATATCGATGTATAAATTTGGCTGTTTTCCGTAGTAGAATTGAATAAGAAGTGAAAAAGTGAAACGTAAATTAATAGTTTGGAGAATATTATAGTGCAGATGTTGCGAGATGAGTTTTGCGAATTGTTCTGGTTGTCAAGTAATTTGTTTACAAGAATTAACGGTTTGTAGAGAAAGCGATAGTGATAAAATTGTTGTGTTCACAAATCAAAATTGGAAAGGAAATACATCGTAAACATTGCGTATAGATTTGTACGTTTAAATGCAATACAAAAATATACAATAATAAATTCCACTACTATTTAAACTTTGGCACAACCTTGTATCATTGCGGGAATGTTATAACTGAAAGATTTGTACAGATAAATCTGACTATCATTCGACACGATTATGGTCTAAGGGAGAAAAAAAGGTGTGCTGAATAGAATTTTGCGACTTCGAAACTTGTGTAATTCAAGGAAGATATCAGTTAAGAGGGGAAATCGAAATTTGAATCAGAAATGATTTTTTAAAAAAGATAAAGAATGTACATAAATTACGAAATCTGTCATGTCAGTTATCGCGATTTGTTGCGTTCAGCAGCTGTTGTACTGTGGAGTCGGTGTAATGGAACCATTTCGAATTTGTTCCAGTTCCGATTCGAATGCGGGATTCGGTTGAGAAGGCTACGTGTCCTATAGCTCGTAATTGGAGTGCTATCGAGGCGGCGTCTTGGTATTCCAGTGTCTGCAGTCTTGTAGGATCCCCTTTAATGGAAAACGGGTGCCCGTGTGGTGCATAATTCTTGAGATGCACAATCCATGGTGCATAATAATTCTTGAGTGGTGCATAATCCATGAAGTGAGCAAAAGCAGGATAGGCTGGATGCACGGGAATGAAGTCAGCCTTCGCTTCTGTAAGATTTTGAAGGCAAAAATTAGAAGTATAACTGTTGTGCACAGCTGCAGGCTGCGGGAGGCAACAATGTAGAATTGTCTGCAATTCTTGTGTAAATCTAATCGAACTTATTTGCCCTCAGCTTCACCTAAGTGTAAGCTTGCCCTCAGCTTCACCTAAGTGAAAAAACTGACATTCATAAATGGGGGGGCCGCCTATTGAAGACTGGTTTTTTTTAAAAAAATTCCCGCTCACATAATGTCAGTTTTTGTTTGCTTTTGCTTCTTTTGCTTTTGTTTACAGGCTTCAGTTCTTAGATTTTGGTTTTTCCCCTTTTATTCACAAGTTCAGGTTTGTTTTAATTTACTTCTTGTAGTGCTGTGTTGGTCTATTTTTTCTTTATTGCTGCCTGCAACTCTTGCTTTGAACTTCTGACTAGTATCCTTGTTCCCT